GCCACAGTAACTTCTTGCAAGATACATCCACAAAAGCAAAAGAAACAAAAGCAAAAATGAACTATTGGGACTTCATCAAGATAAGAAGCTTTTGCACAGCAAAGGATACAGTCAACAAAACTCAAAGACAACCTACAGAATGGGAGAAGATATTTGCAAATAACATATCAGATAAAGGGCTAGTTTCCAAAATCTATAAAGAACTTATTAAACTCAACAGCAAAGAAACAAACAATCCAATCATGAAATGGGCAAAGGACATGAAGAGAAATCTCACAGAGGAAGACATAGACATGGCCAACATGCACATGAGAAAATGCTCTGCATCACTTGCCATCAGGGAAATACAAATCAAAACCACAATGAGATACCACCTCACACCAGTGAGAATGGGGAAAATTAACAAGGCAGGAAACAACAAATGTTGGAGAGGATGCGGAGAAAAGGGAACCCTCTTACACTGTTGGTGGGAATGTGAACTGGTGCAGCCACTCTGGAAAACTGTGTGGAGGTTCCTCAAAGAGTTAAAAATAGACCTGCCCTACGACCCAGCAATTGCACTGTTAGGGATTTACCCCAGAGATTCAGATGCAATGAAACGCCGGGACACCTGCACCCCGATGTTTCTAGCAGCCATGTCCACAATAGCCAAACTGTGGAAGGAGCCTCGGTGCCCATCGAAAGATGAATGGATAAAGAAGATGTGGTTTATGTATACAATGGAATATTACTCAGCCATTAGAAACGACAAATACCCACCATTTGCTTCAACGTGGATGGAACTGGAGGGTATTATGCTGAGTGAAGTAAGTCAATCGGAGAAGGACAAACAGTGTATGTTCTCATTCATTTGGGGAATATGAATAATAGTGAAAGGGAATATAAGGGAAGGGAGAAGAAATGTGTGGGAAATATCAGAAAGGGACACAGAACATAAAGACTCCTAACTCTGGGAAACGAACTAGGGGTGGTGGAAGGGGAGGAGGGCGGGGGGTGGGGGTGAATGGGTGACGGGCACTGAGGGGGACACTTGACGGGATGAGCACTGGGTGTTATTCTGTATGTTGGTAAATTGAACACCAATAAAAATTAATTTATTAAAAAAATAAAATAAAAAATAAAATAAAAAAAGGATGTTTTCATACAAGTTTAGAAAGATGTATACAAGGATTGTTTTATAGTATTTTTTATGCCCCCCCCAAAGGAAACGAATGCTTCATCAAAAAGGGGCTGGTTAAATAAACTATAGTCTATGTATTGATGGAAAATTATGCAGAAGTAAAAAACGTGACAGGTTAGAACCCTTTGTACCGATATGGAAAGAGTCAAGACACTGAGAGTGAAACCAGTGAAGTGTATATCAAATGTGTAGAAAGATTATGTTTAGGTTAAAACTGCCATACATGTATGTGTACACATATATGAACAAAATTTCTTGAAAAAAACTATTCACGGAACCTCTGACTGGATTAGGGAGGGGACTTTTACTTTTCATTTTATAACCTTTCGCAGTGTTTAAATTTATTTTGCACAGCACATATTTTACAATAACACATTTAAAAAGCTACTTACAAGGTTGCCAAAAACAAATTAGCTTCAGTCTAAAATTCTTCAAGATTACATAAATTAATTATGTGCCCATCAATCAAGTATGCAAACATTCCAAGGTAATTTTATAGAACTGAGAGCCTTGAAACAATTATCCATTTAGGCTGGAGTCTTTTTGCATTAGACTGAATTGTGTCCCTCCCAAATGAGTATGTTGAAGCCCTAGCCCTCAGTGTGATGACATTTAGAGATAAGGCCTTTCCGGATAATTAGGTTTAGATGTGGTCATAAGGATGGGGCCCTTGTGGTGGGATTAATGCCCTTGCAAGAAGAGATGCTGGAGTGTGCTGGCCATCACTCTCTCTTCCCTTCTCTCTCTCCCTGCCATATGAGGAACAGTGAGAAGGTGGGCATTTGTAAGCTAGTAAGAGTGTCCTCACCAAATCCCCACCATGTTGGCTCCTTTATCTTGGACTTTCAGCCTCCAAAACTGAGGGAAAATAAGTTCTGTTGTTTAAGCCACCTGGTCTATGGTATTTTGTTTTGGCAGCCCGAGCAGACTAATACACCACCATTAGCAAGTGTAACACTGGAAGCCTTGTTCTGTGGGATGTTGTTGCCCTGGAAGCCAGAAAAGTCATGTTCATGGGGACCCATGCGGCTTGGGGCCCTTAGGTTCAGTGGTCAGGGTGCTGCCTACGTGTGGAGATTACTCTTTGGAAGGACAATATCTTAGTCTGCTCAGGCTGCTGTAACAAAATACCATAAACTGGGAGGCTTAGAGAACATAAATTTATTTCTCATAATTCTGGAGGCTGGGAAGTCTAAGACCAAGGTGCTGGTCAATTCATTTCCTAGTGAGCGTCCTTTTCCTGGTCTGTAGATAGATGCCTTCTTTCTATACTGTCATATGGTAGGGAGATAATTTCTGGTGTCAGTCTTTTTTTTTTTTTTAAAGATTTTATTTATTTGAGAGCCAGCAAGTGAGCACAAGCAGGGGGAGGGGCAGAGGGAGAAGAAGGCTCTGTGCTTGTGCGGGCTCGATCCTAGGACCCTGGGATCATAAGCTGAGCAGAAAGCAGATGCTTAAATGACTGAGCCACCCATGTGCCCCAGTGTCTCTTCTTTAAGGGCACTAATCCCATTCATGAGGGCTTCATCCTTATGACCTAGTTACCTCTCAAAGACTCTACTTCCAAATACTATTATATTGGAGATTAAGACTTCAATTTGAATTTAGGAAGGACACAATCAGTCTACAGGAGGTAGGGATTTGGTGTGGGGGTGGGGGTGGAGACTGTAGGGGAGTGAGTTAAACTGCTCATCTGTTTTTTCAAGTTTTACAAGGCTTTTGTTTTACCAAAAAGAAAATACACTTCTGGTGAAATTTTTTTTTATTATTTATGCTTTTCAGTGGATTCTTATATTCTTAAATTATTAAAGAATATTTGGAATAGTTGCACATAAAAGCAGTGTAAAATTCAGGAGAGAATGAACTCACAATTAATGAATATATCAACAGCCTTATGTTTTGAAGAAAAAAAAGTCAGTTATTTTTCAGCTACAAACCATGAATGGAAAGGCCTCTTCTCTTGAGGAACTAAATCCTGGCAGGACTTTGAATAAGAATTTTAGACACAAAGTATGTGAACAAATATACATACAGAATGAATTTGGATCAACTGATGAATCTTTTATGGAACTAATAAACATCAACCCGCTTTACTCCAAGTTGAGAACCGACAGAGAGATAGAAATGAGATTCAGAAAAATGGAAGACAAACCATTAACTTTATCACTAATAAAAGCAGAGTTGGAGCATGTGGCTTTAGCTCTGTGGCTAAAAGACTTAATAGAGTTCTGCCGCTGAGTTAGACAACCTAACCCTCCCCAGCCGGCAGACATGACTATACAACCTGCACACCTTCTCTACTGGGAGAGCCTGCTCCACATGGCAGGGGAGAGCAGGTGGGCATGTTGCAGGCAGGTTGGCTTCCAAAGAGATCCAGAAGGGGCTGAAACCAGCATGCTGAATTTGCCTTATGGGAATGAGTAAGAGTGGGAAGAAAGGCCCCAAATATTTTGATATCAGCATTTCTTAAAGTGTGGTCCAGGGATTCTCAGGGCTCCCTGAGGCCCTTTCAGAGGGTCCACAAGGTCAAAACTATTCTTCTCTTTCTTTCTTCTTCTTTCTTTCTTTTTTCTTCTTTCTTTCTTCTTTTTTTTTTTTTTTTTTTACCTTATTTGAGAGAGAGAGAACAGGGGCAGAGGGAGAAGCAGACACTCTGCTGAGCAGGGGGCTGGATCCTAGGACCCTAGGATCATGACCGAGCTGAAGGCAGAGGCCTAACCAATTGAGCCACCCAGGAGCCCTGGTCAAAACTGTTTCCGTATTACTGATATGGATGAAATTGGTGATAATATCAATAGATGTAATTTTTTGATATTGAAAAACAAAATGCATTTATATCCATATTGTCTCTTCAGTTATGCTGTGAACCTAAAATTGCTCTAAATAAATAAAGAGTCCTGAAATTAAAAAAAAAAAAAGCAACATAGTAAAGTCTATAGAGGTTAAAAAAAAATTCTGTGTGATAAGGAAGTATTGTGGGGTGCTTCTTACAATCAGTGCAGTCTCTTGTATTTGATAAAATATTAAAATCTAACAAAAAAATAGGAGTCCTCATATGATAAGAGCAAGTGAGAGGTTTCCACAGCATGTGTTGTATATACTGAGAGCCAGAAGAGAGTTATGTGAAGTGAGGGCATTAGGGATATTTCCATGAGGGCCGTGGAGCCTGCACTGGCCTTGAAGGTGGATTTGAGAGCTAGGACATTAATAACATTGAAAACACTGATTTATGATTATTGATGGGACTCCAGGTCTCCCTGCTACCATTCTTACCTACTTTGGCATAACCTGTGTGTAGCCACCGAGTTACTCTTTAAAAATGTAAATATCATGTTACTCCTCTACTCCATCCTTTCCTCGCTCTCTCCTTGCCCCCTCCCCCCGCTTTTTAAGATTTTATTTGAGAGAGAGCCCAAGAGGGGGAGCGGGGGCAGAGAGAGAGAGGAAGATGCAGACTCCCCAGCTGAGCAGGGAGCCCAACACGGGGGCTCAATCCCAGGACCCTGGGATCTAACCTGAGCCGAAGGCGGGCACTTAACCAACTGAGCCCCCCAGGTGCCCCCTCTTTGCCTTTCTTCATGTCAATTATACTTGCGTGACATTATATTGTTTGTTCATTTGCCTGTCTTCCTGACCATCTGTACCCTTCTTGAGGATAGCAGCCTTGTCTTTGTGTTCATATTCTGTCCTCAGGGCCTAGAACATAGTCTGGCACATGGTAGGCTCTTAATATTTGTTGAATAGAATTAACATACATCGGCCAGAAGAAAAATAATTTCTTGGCAATGAAGTATTGCTCTTCTGTCTTGATGGAGAACAGGAAATGAACAATATTTCATCAGCAGCTGAATACTACAAAGAAGTTTTGAAACAGGACAATACTCATGTGGAAGCCATTGCATGCATTGGAAGCAACCACTTTTATTCTGATCAACCAGAAATAGCTCTCCGGTTTTACAGGTGTGTTTTACGTTGTCTTCGTAGAACTACTTTCCTGTGATATATTGGGACAACAGCAATAAAGGTGGAGTGAAAATGTAGACAGATAATGTATAGGCCCATGTCTATAGGAGACTAACCATTCAAGCACCCGGAGGTTTTCTGAGCATTAAAGTGACATTTAATAATTTGAAAGTGCACAAATATTTGGCATCTTGTGGAAACATACCTGGATAGTTGAGTTTTTAACACCATGTCATTGTATGAGTTAGCCATTTTGTTGTCAATGAGGAACTGTGTAGCAGTTCCTGGAAGCACTTCTTCCCATCACTGCTTCCATTCATACCACCACATAGCATAAGACCCCAGAACTGAAACAGTGGTGAGATTGGCAAAGAGCAGTGAGTACCAGGTTCCAAGCCCTGACTAGGACCTGAAACAGGTTCCCCTGTCCTGTTTTAGGTAAATCCTAAACACAGCCGTCAAGTTAGATGAAAAGGTCTTAGGGGGTTCACTGATTGGCACCAAACCTTTATGAACCAAAATGCTGTGGGTTTTCCTTTATGTGACTCTTTGTATTTGATTCTCTAACAGAGCTTTTGGGGGAAAAAAACTTATGTAAGTGGACTCTGACCTCGCTCCTGGATATATTGCCCATGAATAGTACCATTAAAAAAGACATGCTTTTGTATTTGCTTTGAAATGTTTTTTCATTTACTATGTTACTTTCTATTCTTTGGAGGTGTTAAAAATTGTAAAACATTTATTTCTAACTTTGTAAAAAAATAGGTCTTAATATTTATCAGGTTGGTCTGACACCAAAATATGTGTGCTCTTTTTCGAAAAGGCGACTCCTGCAGATGGGTGTTTATAACTGCCAGCTTTTTAACAATCTGGGCCTCTGCTGCTTCTATGCCCAGCAGTATGATATGACTCTGACCTCATTTGAACGTGCCCTTGCTCTGGCTGAAAACGAAGAAGAGGCAGCTGACGTCTGGTACAACTTGGGCCACATAGCTGTGGTAGGTGGTTTCCTCTAATGTAATTTCTGATATAGAAAAGGTAGCCAGCCATAAGTTAGTTTGAAGCAATGTTCAGCTCTGGTAAATCCATTGGTTATGGTCTTCTGTAGCAATTAAGTGATCTCTGAGCATCACCCTAGAACTTGTTTTCTCAGGTTAAAGCCTCTTACAACAGACACTTGATTATGATTAGTACTTGTTGCTTGGTAGCTGAAAAGACATGAGGAAAGAAGGGAGGAGATGGTGGGCAGAAGCATATGGATCTGTGTGTGCGAATACATGCTTTTCTTTTCAAGGGTATAGGAGATATGAATTTGGCCCATCAGTGCTTCAGGCTTGCTCTGGTCAACAACAATAACCACGCTGAGGCCTACAACAACCTGGCTGTGCTGGAGATGCGTAAGGGCCACATTGAGCAGGTCAGTGAACTACTGTGGCACAATGGACAGTCTGCTTTCTTTCAAGAAAAGCTGTCAGATGTAGTTATCTTTACATGCTGTTGTTTATTTATTTTTTAAAGATTTATTTATTTGAGAGAGAGAGATTCCCAAGCAGACTCCTCACTGAGTGCAGAGCCTGAGCTCGATCCCGTGACCCTGAGATCATGACCCAAACTGAAATCAAGAGTAGGACGCTTAACCAGCTGAGCCACCCAGGTGCCCCTACCTACTGTAGTTTAAAAATGAGCTCTAGGGCTTGACTGGCCTGGATTTGATTCCTGGCTCTGTTATATATTAATAGTTTGACCTTGGACAAGTTACTTAACATTTGTTATCTCTTTACCTTTGGTTTTATTTATTTATTTATTTATTTATTATTTATTTATTTATTTAAAGATTTTATTTGTTCATGAGAGACACACACAGAGAGAGAGAGGCAGAGACACAGACAGAGGGAGAAGCAGGCTCCATGCAGGGAGCCCGATGTGGGATTCGATCCCAGGTCTCCAGGACTGTTTAGCCCTGTGCCAAAGGCAGGCGCTAAACCACTGAGCCACCCAGGGATCCCCTGCCATTGGTTTTATTAGGATAAATCTGTACCTCCCTAGTGTTCCCTGCCTTGGTAGACTGTTACACCATTCCCAGTCCCCCATCCACCAGCTAGGTGCTCAAGCCAGAATCCCAGGAGCCACCCTTGAAACCTCTCTGTCCCTGCTGCCTCTCCCTGCCCCCCACCCCATTAGGTTCAGCAAGCCCTGCCAGTTTTACTTCCAAGTCCCATCCTGGACCTGGCCATTTCCCCCCACCTCTGGCAGCCTTCTCCAAACTGTATTCATCTCCTGCCCTGACTCTACTACAAGACTGTCCTAGCTGGTCTTTTTGTCTCCACTTAGGTCAGCAAGTAATTTTACCCTATAACATGCCCTTCTCTCAACAGCAGAAGGGATTTCTTAAAAAAACAAGAATGATTTTATCATTACTTTGCTCAGCATCCTCTAAAGTCTTTCCTTTCTGCTTGGAATGAAATGTGGATCCAAACCTTGGCCTATAGGGTCCCACATAATCCAGCCTCTGGCTCCCTCTCAGGCCACATCTTTTGCCACTTCTTCTTTCCCACCGACTTCCCAACTTCTGGACAAATCAGCTGCCTCACTGCTCTGCACATGTGCTGTGCATCTTCTTACTTTACAGGGTTTGGAACGTTCTTCTTTCATATCCTGCAGGGACTTTTTTCTGTCATTTGGATCTTAGCACAATTGCCACCTCTTTAGAAAGGTCATCTCAAAGGCACCTGTGTGGCTCAGTAGTTGAGTGTCTGCCTTCAGCTCAGGGCGTGATCCTGGGATCCAGGGATTGAGTCCCACATTGGACTCCCCACAGGGAGCCTGCTTCTCCCTCTGCCTGTGTCTCTGCCTCTGTCTCTCATGAATGTAAATAAAATCTAAAAAAAAAAAAGAGAGAAAAGAAAGGTCATCTCAGACATCTAAAGGAGTCCTCAGGTACTATCACAATACTTATTTTATCAGATGTGTTCATATTTATATATAGACCGTAGTATGGCAGCCACGTTAAAACAGACCTGCTTTGAGTCCTCCAAGGGCTACGTTTTCAGCATCAAAAACAGTGCCTGGCATGTGGTAGGTGCTGGGTCAGTATTTGTGAAATGAACGGACAGCATATAAAGGAGGTCACAGCAGCACCTGAAGGTGTTCTGCGAGAATGAGCAGCTTATACGTGGAAGGCACCGGGTGTGGCAGCATGGTACTGAGCACACAGCAGATGTTTGATAAACTAAATTCTAAAAACAAGCTTAAAATGCTAAGTACAGTCATACAATGTTAGTGACAATCAAGGATAGGTAAGTATGATATTCCATATGTTAAAGATAAAGAAACAGGGACGCAAGGAAGGCCGGTAACTTTACCTGCAGACCTAGTGTTAACCTGCCATCTGGTCACCCAAGCACAGTGATAAACTTGTAGCAAAATGAGAAAAGAAACATCCTTGGATGTTGCCTTTATTTCGTAAATTCCTCCAAATAAGATGGATTTGTATTTTTTTTTAAGATTTTATTTATTTATTCATGAGAGACAGAGAGAGAGAGAGAGAGAGGCGGAGACACAGGCAGAGGGAGAAACAGGCTCCATGCAGGGAGCCTGACGTGGGACTCGATCCCGGGTCTCCAGGATCACACCCTGAGCTGAAGGCAGCACTAAACCACTGAGCTACCCGGGCTGCCCATGGATTTGTAGTTTGTAAACAAAAACTAACTACAGAAGACTTTTGAGCAATACAGGATTAGTGGTACTGACCCCCCATGTGGTCGAAAATTCACATATTTTTGACCCCCTGCAAAACATAACTACTAAGAACCCACTGTTGACTAGAAGCCTTACCCAGAACGTACATAGTCAACCAACACATATTTTATGTCATATGTACTGTATACTGCATTCTACAGTAAAGTAAGCTAGAGGAAATGAGATGTGATTAAGAAAATTATAAGAGAAAATGCATTTACAGTACTGTATTTATTGAAAACATCCACATATAAGTGGACCCATGCAGTTCAAACCCATGTTGTTCGAGGGTCAACTGTACTCCAAAATGGGAACTTGTTCTGTCATGGAACTTTACCTATGTCCATATGAAACAAGTGCTTTCGTGATTTTCTCTGTTGCCACATTGGTGATTTTGTTTCCTACTTATTACAGTTTCTTTGCTATACAACTGATTTGAAAGATTTTGGTGAAAGTTTTCATGCTACTACCCTCTTTTTATTCTTAAAAATTACACCTCAATTAAAAGAAAAATAATTGTAAAACACAAAGAGAATCAATATATACCATCCCATATGTTATTTTCCTTTTTTTTTTCTTTAAATATTTTATTTATTTATTTGAGAAAGAAAGAGAATGCAAGAGCACAAGTTGGGGGAGTGGGCAGAGGGAGAAGCAGACTCCCCACTGAGCAGGGAGCCTGATGCGGGGTTTAATCCCAGGACCCAGAGATCATGACCTGAACTGAAGGTAGACCTTAATAGACTGAGCCACCCAGGTACCGCCCCCCCCCCCATATGTTATTTTCCATTAAAAAGAAAAAAAGAGGGATCCCTGGGTGGCGCAGCGGTTTGGCGCCTGCCTTTGGCCCAGGGCGCGATCCTGGAGACCCAGGATCGAGTCCCACGTCGGGCTCCCGGTGCGTGGAGCCTGCTTCTCCCTCTGCCTGTGTCTCTGCCTCTCTCTCTCTCTGTGACTATCATAAAATAAAAAAAATAAAAAATAAAAAAAAAATAAAAAAAATTTAAGAAAAAAAGATACAGATTTGTCTCCAGGTCACAGATAGAGATTTAGCTGCAAGTTGGAGGGATGGTCAGAAGCTTGGAATGGTGAGTTTGTGGTCCTAAAGATGAATGCATGAGCATCTCACACCAGTCAGTGGTCCCTGCCAGTGGTACATTTACCATCCTTTGATCCTATAGGGGATGCAAATTTTGCTTTTTGAGAACTCAAGAGAACCGAAAGTTTGATGTTTTCAGTTGCATTCACTTGTTATTTTGAGGTCAGCAGTGTAATAAATGCTCATCCTGGTCTTCTAACACCAAACTCTGGGGTTGGAAATTTACTGTGGTTTTTAAAAATTTTTTGTTGTAGCATTAGATAACAGGTAATTAGAAGCCTAAGAATCAATCAACATAAATAAAAACTAGATTAATAAGATTTTTTTTTTTTTTAGTATTGAGGACTATATTTCAATTTGTCATATTAAAATAGTAACTTTGGGATCCCTGGGTGGCACAGCGGTTTAGTGCCTGCCTTTGGCCCAGGGCGCGATCCTGGAGACCCAGGATCGAATCCCACGTCGGGCTCCCGGTGCATGGAGCCTGCTTCTCCCTCTGCCTGTGTCTTTGCCTCTCTCTCTCTCTCTCTGTGTGACTATCATAAATAAATAAATAAGAATTTAAAAAAAATAAAGCTTAAAAAAATAAAATAAAATAGTAACTTTTTAGGAACAGTGGTTCTCGACTTTAAATTTTCTTCATATTTTGAAGCAGTTTTATGATTAATATAATTTTGGCAAGATGTAAGTACTAATTATATTTCAGTAAGTCATATTTCACAAAGAATATCATCTGTATTTATCACAGGATCATGTTTATTAAGGTGCTATTTTGAGGAAAGGATTCTTTTACCAAAAAAAGAAGACACAGAAACCCCCAAGTCATAAATATAGTGCTGATACATGCTCATACACCTTGTTTTGTTTTGTTGTTTTCTTTTTTTAATACAGGCAAGAGCACTATTACAAACTGCATCATCTTTGGCACCCCATATGTATGAGCCGCATTTTAATTTTGCAACTGTCTCTGATAAGGTATTCTTTTTATCAGTTCGTCATCTGATCTGTTTCTTTTTCTTTCCTGGTTTAAAAAAAAAGTATAGAAAAATAAGGAAATTCTAATAATGTTTTGATGGAAATGTGTTTTTAAATATTATATGTACCTGTCTTTCACTTCAAGAGACAGTTTAATAAACTTTAAAAAATATATCACTGAATATGGACTAAACTTAATATTACAGATTGCATTATAGATTATTATAGATTGCAGAATTATTTTTAAAATATGACATTTAGTCATGAAAAAATACTCATTAAGTAACTTGGTTGAGGAAAGATTTAGTAATTGACTTTTATAAGAAATCCTGTATTTTACTGTAGACCATGTTGCCATCAAGGCTCTGGCATAATTGCCATAAAATGAGGGATAGGAGTGAAAGCTGTTGTAGCTGTGAACATGGGGAAAAATACAACTGTTAATACTGTATTTCAAGTCAGTTAATGTCCAAGAGCTAAAAGGAATCATGCCATTTTCAATAATAAGAACAACAATAAATAAAAGGCTTTGAATAACTAACTTTTACTGAGAAACCTTCCTTTAAGATGGAAAGTGAGTTTTCAGGGTAAGAAAATGGCTGAAAGTGTTTGCAGATGTAAAGACTCCTTATAGACCAGAAGACATTATGAAAATGTCATTTTTCAGAGCATGAACATGAAGCCACCCTCACTTTCATTTCCGCTCTGGAACTAAGTTGTCATTCATAAGTTGTCATTTTTGTGGGCTTGTTAAGAGCCAACCACCATTGCAGGTGTTCCACACACCCTCTGTGATTTTTCATCAACCTGCCATGTAGGTTTCCTTCACCTTCCTGACTCATTTTTTCTACAGCTGATGTTTCATTTATTGAGCACTGTTCTAGGCACAGAGGATGTTAGCACTGAATAAAACAAAACCGCTACCTTATAACAGCTTACATTCTAATGAACACAAGGCTGGTCGAGCTTAAAAGACTCCCCTAGGGTCACATGGCCATGGTGGGTTCAGAATTTATACCCAGCTCCCAATGATGCCCCTGTGTTTTCCACTGCCCTGTGCTGCCATTTACTTAAATAACATTTTAATAATATATAACTCAAACGAGGTATTTTTTAAGCAAAAGACTATATTTTCCATAAGAGAAAATGGTATGTTAGGAAACTTTTTTAATATGTATTACACGTTTCAAAAAAAAAAAAAAAACCTGCCAGCATTGAATTATCTAGGATATTTTTTGTGTGCACACACTAAAAAGCTCTTGCTTTTTATAAATGTATGCATGAATCCAAATCTATGCAGACAGATCCAGATGCTGTGTCCTTTTCTTTGGGACTGGACTTTAACACTAGATTTATTGAAAATCAGAGATACCCTTAATAAACTTCTAAAGCCAGGTATCTTCCCCCACATTACTCTGCTAAGCACCATTTAAAACCTCCCTGAGCATGTTATTGTATCTTATATACAATCATTTTTGCTTGAATTTTCTATCTAAAAGATAATACCCTAACCAAAATATGTCTTTATGGTACATTACAAATAGTTGTCCTAAGGCTTTCTGAAACTATATAGAGCTGGCTCTTATAGTATGCAAATGTAATTTTATTTTTGTAATACTACCTGTGATAGGAAAAGAAAACAAAGTCTATGAATTCATAACTAGACAGCTGTAATGGAGCAGAAATTATTAGTATAATTGGTTATTTTATTTTTCAAGATTGAATTGTAATCTAGGTGAAAGAATTCTAAAATCAAAGTGGCATAACCAAACAATTTACCCTTAAAAACGCTTTGATTTTCTACGGTATACAGATAGTACTTTTACTTTCTTATTCATTTTTTTTTTTGTGGTCTCATTCTGTGGTCTTATTCTGGTATTTCTTACAGATTGGAGATTTACAAAGAAGCTATGTTGCTGCTCAGAAGTCAGAAGCAGCATTTCCAGGTCATGTGGATACCCAACATTTAATTAAACAACTAAAGCAGCATTTTGCTATGCTCTGATTGTCCCACAGACCAAGTATATTCTTATGAGGAGGCATTACACAAGGGAAAAAGTAGTGTGTATATATATCTGATATACAAGCCTGTGCTCACTATTAGTGAAGAGGACATTACGGAGTTCACATAAGAATTTAATAATGCAAACTTTATAATAATAATTTGTATAATATTATAAAAGATAGGATTTATTTATTTTTTTTTTTAAATTTTTTTTTTTATTTATTTATGATAGTCACACAGAGAGAGAGAGAGAGAGGCAGAGACATAGGCAGAGGGAGAAGCAGGCTCCACGCACCGGGAGCCCGACGTGGGATTCGATCCCGGGTCTCCAGGATCGCGCCCTGGGCCAGAGGCAGGCGCCAAACCGCTGCGCCACCCAGGGATCCCAAAAGATAGGATTTAATATTTGTAAGCAGATCATGAAAACTTCTTCCACATTATATGGTAGATGTTTATAAAAATGTTTATGGAACATTTTCATGAATCTCTTCAAATTTTTATAATAATGTCAATAAACTGGCCATTAGCTAACATGTAGCTTCAGAGGTCTGAAATCTACCATAAAAATTGCACTTTCATGGCTAAAAGTGTGTATATTCCTCCCAATTAGAGACTATTTAGAGCTTAAAAATTGTATTTAAAGCTATTTATCAAATGCTTTGTAAGACACTATACATTTTCTCATAGATTATGCTTTAAAATAAATCAGTGTGTAAAACACCATCATTCTGCCATTTTTCGTGAGTTTTTATTTTAGGCATCTCAGATAAAACACATTTTTCAGCCCAGTAATCTTAGAAATCAAGTCATTATTTTAATTTTACTTGATGTACCACCAATTTTGTATTTTCCTGAGAAGCTATTTATGGAATATCATATTGTCAATATAAGAATATCAGGATTGGAAATGGAGTTACAGGCCCGGAGTCCCACCTGTGGTCAACCCCAAGAAAGGCCAGATCCCGGGACCATACAATGCAAAATCCTGGAAGGGCTCTTGAACTTGTCTCTCCCATCTGTAGTGGGATTCTCATCAAAGTATTGACACAAGGAAATGTGTCAAAGGGACAAAGAAATTTGGATATTGGACTTTGGCACCCTTCCATGTTATTTTCCAATTTCTAATGTCATGGAAACTACTTTACAGATACTTGTTTCTATTGAGATTTGTATAAGTGGTGTTACTTAGCTGACAGAACAAAAAGATGTGAATTTGAGGAATTATAGCTTATTAGAGGCTGGAAGTGACTTCAGAGGAAGTGTAGGTGAATCTCTCCAAGGCATGGATGAAGAAAGCAAGGCCCTGCTTTCTTCACACTGCTGGTTGGATGTCCAGTCAATGACTGGACCCCAAGAAGGACCCTGTTCTTGTGCTTGAACTTTTCCTGCTTCCCCAGAATATGCCAGTGTTAGTTTTTTTTTGTTTTTTTGTTTTTTGTTTTTTTTTTAGCTCCTGAGAATTTCCTCAAGCACAATCAGATGTACTCAATATTTAGGCTGAAATTTTGTAATGCGAATCATTTTCTTAGCTAATCTAAAATAAGAGCTAATAACAACAAGCTTGCATTTATAGGACTGTTGTACTGTTGTACATGCCTGGCAGGGTTCTCAGCACTGGATATGAATTAACCTTTTAATTCTCATTGCAGTGCTATAAGGTGCAGTTATTCCCATTTTACTTATGAGAAAAATGAGGTACAGAGAAGTCAGGTAGCTTGATCAGGGTTGTAAAGCTAATAAGTAGCAGAGCTGGGATTCAAATGTAGGCAGTGTGAGCCCCAAGGATGTGCTCTTACCCTCATGTGAAATCACCTCAGTGTTTGTCCTGTAAATAAAGCTACTACCATTTAAAATGAATGTTGTGTACATTAGTAAAATTGGATGATAAGGGAATATTAACACAGCAAAAAACAGATGAGTCAGTATTTCTAAGGTAATATGGAGATATTTTTGTCTTGAATTTATGTTAATTCAATGTGAACACCAATGCAAAGAATGAGTCAGGATGGCTCCAGGCAGAATGATGGCATAAAAGAACATTGTGCATCAACAGCTACACACATCTTTGAAACAAAATTATTTCTGGCTGCATAACTGGCTTCTGTGCCAACATTTCTATAGAAGGAAGGTTAATGATTGTCTTCCACCCTGGCTAAAAAGGTGTTCAATCGATATACAAATTGTTTGACCAAAATTAACATCATGGGGCTTCCCGCTGATGAAAATGAGATCTGGTAAGACCACTGCCAGCACAATAACTGCTGAGGTTTGAAGTTCTTCCTTCCGAAATAGGTCATATATGAACCAGTCCCCAATGGTATTCATTGTTCTGTTACATTTCTGAATGTTATGTCCCAGCATCAGAGCTCCCAACATAATTTATGGCCTCAAGATAAGAAAATTAATAAAGATAGCCCATCACTACACTTTTAATGTGGTTTCCACCGCAAACTCTGTAGTAACATGAGGGATTTGTATCAAGAACTTTCAGGTGGGGCTGGGGTTAAGCATTCAGAAAAACCATGAGGATTTTGAAATACTGTGGTAGGACCCAATATTGGAAAATCATGAACCCAGAAATGGAGTTTAGTTAAAAAGCCACTGGCGGACAGTTTTAAGTTCTAGGGAATAGATAAATTGGAATGGTTCATGGCTATGTTCCAGACTCCCAAATTGGTTATCTAGGCTCAAATATTAGGGAGAAAAATTTTACTTAGCAATTTGAAAACAACTGCAGCTTTACATCCTTTCACATAGATGGCATTAGTCTTATATTTGGCTGACTAAAAACTTAACCTTTTTGAGAGATGCTGTGATTTTATGTCCTTGATATTAAAGCCAAATTCTTGAGATGAAAGGAGGACTAAAAAAGGTTAAATTATAATCCTTGGGGACTATAGTATTTCCTGTACTGTGATCCTTCCCCTTCCCTAAACCTTGACTAACAAGGAGTAATTGATTAGTGAAGTGTAAAGGGTGGAAACTCTTGGAGAAAGCAACCACATTATCTTAGGGAAGAGAAGGCCAAACCTGGACATTTTATGTGGAAAGATTTTCCCCCCCATATTTAAGCAGACCCTTTTCCAGTATTTGAAACTCAAGTTTCTATGGGCTCTGGCACCTTACAGCTGTTGCCACCACTGCCTCACACCAGCTCGACTAGCTTCAATTCCTTTCTCCACAGGATTGTTTATCACAGTCCCTTTAAACCTTCTCTCTTTTGAGCACTACCCTCTTTTGTCATAGTATCTTAAAAGGGCAGGTGATGTTTGTTGCTTACTTCACTTATTTCTGGACCCTCTGCAGGCTTGCTTCAACTCCAGTCACTACTGGAACTCCTCCCATCTAGGTCACTAACAACTTCCAATTAACGAATTCAGAGGGTTTTTCATTTTTTGTTTTTAAACAGCGTTTTTTTTTTTTGATATTATTTATATACCATACAACTCGCTCTTTTGAAATATACCATTTGATGGTTTTTAATGTATGTACAGTTGGGCAACTATCACTTACAATCAATTCTAAAAGACCTGTATGCTGAAACTATAAGAAAACATCAGACATTCATGAAAGACACTGAAGATGTAAATAAATGGAAAGATATTTTGTGCCCATGAATTGGAATATTGTTAAAATACCCATACTATCCTAAGCAATCTACAGATTCAATGCAATCCTTATCAAATTTACAATGACACTGTTTACATAAACAGACAACAGAAAAAGCAATCCTAAAATTTGCAACCACAAAAGAGCCCGAATAACTAAAATGATCTTGAGAAAGAACAACAAAACTGGAGGTATCTTGCATCCCGATTTCAAACTGTAGGTGTTGGCAAAACAGTATGGTGTTGGCATAAAAACAGGTACACGGATCAATGGAAAGGAATAAGGAACCCAGAAATAACCCACACATATATGATCAATTTAGGACAAAGGAGTCAACAATATACAATGGGAAAAAGACAATGTCTTAACAAATGGTCCTGGGAAAACTGGACACCCACATACGTGAATGAAAACTGGAACACTATCATACCCCATGCACAAAAATCAAGTCAAAACAGAATACTTGGGGGGGGGAGGGGCAAGATGGCGGAAGAGCAGAGTCCCCAAATCACCTGTCCCCATCAAATTACCTAGATAACCTTCAAATCATCCTGAAAATCGACGAATTCGGCCTGAGATGTAAAGAGAGACCACCTGGAACGCTACGGTGAGAAGAGTCCGCGCTTCTATCAAGGTAGGAAGACGGGGAAAAAGAAATAAAGGAACAAAAGGCCTCCGAGGGGGAGGGGCCCCGCGAGGAGCCGGGCTGAGGCCGGGGCGAGTGTCCCCAGGACAGGAGAGCCCCGTCCCGGAGGAGCAGGAGCTGCACCAACCTTCCCGGCGGCGGAAAGGGGCTCGCAGGGAGGTGGAGCAGGACCCAGGAGGGCGGGGATGCCCTCGGGCTCCCGGGGACACTAACAGACACCTGCGCCCGGGAGAGTGCTCCGAGCTCCCTAAGGGCTGCAGCGCCCACGGCGGGACCGACCGGAGCAGCTCGGAGGGGCTCGAGCGGCGGCTCCGCGGAGGGGGCTGCGGGGCGGGAGCGCGAATCCACCAGCGCAGGCCCCGGAGCACAGGGCGCCGGGACACAGCCCAGGATCCGGCCTCCCCCGGGACAGGCAGAGGCCGGGAGGGCCCAGGACAGCGAGGACGCTCCTGCCCCGAGCTGAGCAGATCAGCGGCCCCGCCCCGGAGCCTCCAGGCCCTGCAGACCGAGAACCGAGAGCCCCAGCCCTGTAGTTCCTGCGGAGGCTGAATCCAGGCTTCCAGAGTTGCCATAGCAACTGCGGCTGTTCCTCCTGGGGCCCCACGGGGTAAACAACCCCCGCTGAGCCCTGCAGCAGGCAGGGGCAGAGCAGCTCCCCCAAGTGCTAACACCTGAAAATCAGCACAGCAGGGCCCTCCCCCAGAAGACCAGCTAGAGGGACCAGTGATACTCCCCCGTGTTCCAATACAACTTGTTTTTGGCCACTCTGCACTGAGCAAAATGACTAGAAGGAAAACCTCCCCTCAAAAGAAAGAATCAGAAACAGCCCTCTCTCCCACAGAGTTACAAAATCTGGATTACACTTCAATGTCAGAAAGCCAATTCAGAAGCACTATTCTACAGCTACTGGTGGCTCTAGAAAAAAGCATTAAGGACTCACGAGACTTCATGACTGCAGAATTTAGATCCAATCAGGCAGAAATTAAAAATCAATTGAATGAGATGCAATCCAAACTAGAAGTCCTAACGACGAGGGTTAACGAGGTGGAAGAACGAGTGAGTGACATAGAAGACAAGTTAATGGCAAAGAGGGAAACTGAGGAAAAAAGAGACAATTAAGGGACCATGAAGACAGATTAAGGGAAATAAATGACAGCCTAAGGAAGAAAACCTACGCTTAATTGGGGTTCCCGAGGGCGCCGAAAGGGACAGAGGGCCAGAATATGTATTTGAACAAATCCTAGCTGAAAACTTTCCCAATCTGGGAAGGGAAACAGGCATTCAGATCCAGGAAATAGAGAGATCCCCCCCTAAAATCAATAAAAACCGTTCAACACCTCGACATTTAATAGTGAAGCTTGCAAATTCCAAAGATAAAGAGAAGATCCTTAAAGCAGCAAGAGACAAGAAGTCCCTGACTTTCATGGGGAGGAATATTAGGGTAACAGCAGACCTCTCCACAGAGACGTGG